TGCGTACAGTTAAAAAAAACTGTGCTCCAAAGAACTGCGTTCTTAGAACGCGTTCCCTCGGAGGAACGAAGGGACATAATCGATGTGCCCTAATATAACTGTATGCGTGAACTCGTCACGCCTTCCAGTGAGTGGAACGTGAAACGCTGTTCCTTTCTTACTTAGTTATACACATAACCTCTCTGAAGCTGCGATCGATTCAGAGACGTATACTTTTCCCGATATACGTGGAATACTTTTCATTTTTGTTCAGTTTTGACCTAAAGATAATTCTAGCGCAGTTTTAGTTTAAAATACTCACATTTACTGTGTCCGCACCCTCACTAATGGTGTGTCGAAGATGTATATTATTAAATGCTTTGCACGCCTTTTGATGTCGCCAAATTCTGACCCCTTACTGACGCTCTTAAAGGAATCACTCGTGCTTGTCCACCAATGATAGTTCAGGGGAACGCGTACTCAATCAGCCATTCAATCGATAAATACTACAGTCTTCTCTAACCTCAAGAACTTGTTAATCCCCCCTCCATGATATTGTGACAAAAAAAAAAAAAAAAAGAAACAGCTTCAAAGGCGATTTTCAATTACTGCTGTCAAGTGATTGATGGTCGTTTCAGTATCGCTTTAGGGTTATCAAACGATGTTTGTCAGGTAATGATGTCAATTAAAGGTACAGACATTACAAAAAAAAACAAAAAAAAAGATGTTTCCTTTAGCACAATCTACGCAGCATAGAAAGGCGCAAGACTATGCTATTCTGATGCTCTGTAGTAGAAAATATCCACACGTTCTCCTCTTTCCAGTATCACGCATTGTGGCGCCTTGCTTGGCCTTTACACAAAGGGGGCCGACAGTATAGACGATTGCATGGAAACAATTGCATTACGGTATCGGACAGCCGATACACTCAAATGTCACCGCACCGTCCCATGTCTCGGTAACAATGTCTGTCCGGTATGTCATGCCCGGACACATAGTTTTCTTTTTTTTCCCCCCTTTTTTTCGGAAACAAGGCTTAGAGTCTCACACATACGCACGTTCCGTATGAAACCGATTCCCCGCCTGCTTGAGTACCAGATCATTCCTTTGTTCCTCCTTTATCACTTGTGCCTCTGCATTTTTGTTTTGTTTAGATGGCCATTGTTCGCCGTAATGCTGTCCCCCGTCTCATGACGCGTCTGGATTTCATCAATGTCCCGGGCGTCCGCGTAAACAAGCTCCTGCTAAGAATAAAAGGCCGAGAACAATGGATGCTCGATGCACACGTGCACCGACGGCGTCTGCCGGTTACTCTCGCTTGTTTGTAACCTCAGACCTTCGAACAATCTTGCATACGTTGCTAAAAAAAAAAAAGAAGTTATATGACACTTAATTGCTCTTGGTTAAAAGTATTAACTTGGATTGCTCGATTACTTTAGAAGAAAATTGATCGATTGTTACTTGAGAAGGTAAACGTAACTTTTCCGATTACATCAGATTTTCAAAACGACGGATATTTCTAGCGGTTCGAAAGCGGGTCTTTGTACTGCCCATTCTTGGATTAGAATCAGCGAATTAGAAACTACCGGGTGATTCAAGGAGACGGCAGGCTGTTTAAATCGACCGGAAAATTCGGTTTCCTAACCTATCGCGCTACGACTTTGTGCTGCATTGCCCAAAGATGGTGCACCTTTTTTCTTTTTTTTTAAATTTGCAAAGGAGCGAACTTACCTGAGCAAAAAGTAAAGAAAGAAAAAGGCTTAGCTCCCATGGAAACGCAGCGACGCCACCGGTCTTCAAACAACACGGTGCCGTTTCGCACGGGACACAAGAGATGGCGCAACGAACGCCGCCAACGAACGAGCATACGGCGCCGAAAGCCAGCGTCTTTAGCAGACAATCTTTTCGACTCAAAAGCGGCGCGCGTACCGCGGGCGGCGACAGTCGCAGAAACAAAAACAGGCGCGGTAACAACAAGGAACAGCAGTTCCTTGTCTGCTAAATTTGCCGGCTCTCGGCGTCGTCTGCTCGTTCGTTGGCGGCAGTTGGCGTCGCGACCGCTTGCGCCATCTTTTGTCTCCCGTGCGAAACGGCGCCGTGTTGTTTGAAGACCGGTGGCGTCGCTGCGTTTCCATAGGAGCTAAGCCTTTTTCTTTGTTTACTTCTTCCTCAGGTAAGTTCGCTCTTTGCAAATTTTACAAAAAAAAAAAAAGAAATGCATCATCTGTGGGCAACGCTGCACAAAGTCGTAGCGCGATAGGTTAAGAAACTGACTTTTCCGGTCGAGTTAAAGAGCCTGCCGTCTCCTTGAATCACCCGGTATATATCTTTTCAACGCACCAAGTTTGACAGACTATTCAGCTGTCGGAGACTTGGTTCAAGAAGTCGTTCGTAGAAAAATTCTAGAAACAACGGGTGCCATTAGAAGGTGTCGGAAAAAGTATAGGAAAGGTTACAAGTAATTGTAGTGTTGCCGAAAGTAATTAGATTACTCTCGTGATTACTTCTTAATAAATGTAATCAAGGTATTACAAAATCAGTAAAACAAGTATTTGATAATTGATTTCAGTAATATGACTACCGTATTTTCCGGACTATAGTCCGCACCCGGTGTATAGTCCGCAGGGGGAAATTTGGGGTCAAAAATAAAAGATTTTGCTTAGATAGCCCGCACCCGGTGCATAGCCCGCACCCGGTGCATAGTCCGCACCTGGGGCTTAGTCGACACGAGAATCTTCACATAGACGGCACACGTTTACAAATGTCTGCTTTTTAGCTCACAATAAAGCCTATAATGTGCATAAATCATCATTCACATACATTTTCGTGCACAAAATTTGTCACGTCTCGTCATAATCAACGATCTTGAAAAACATAATTCCTGTATATATAGTCCGCACGCGTAGATATTCCGCACAGCCAGAAATTTCAACTTTTAAACATGTATAGTCCGCGCACTATAGCCCGGAAAATACGGTACTTGTACTAAGTACCATACAAGCCTGCCTTTGAGTAATGCTAATATATGTTGTCCTTTACCAATTTTAAGAGTGTTTATTAAAGGATGGTCCAAGAACGATCAAAAACTCGGACACACTTGAGATGAATTTAGTATTTAATAAGTGTATACTCGAGTTAATCGAACAAACGAAGTGATTAGGTTTTGTATCCTTCTCTTTTATATTCTTTGTAACAATACCATAAAACACACGCATCAGTCCCGATCCGCGTGTTTATCACCTTTTCGAAGACGCCCGCGTACAACAATGAAATCAGCGATAACTAAGCCGATAATCGAATAATCTTGAACTAATACATTTTTAATACCATCAAACAGCAGCTGAGTCATTGTTTTCTTTATCCTTTTTTTAGTCCCCCATTCGCGCACGCGCATTTGGAAAAAAAAAAGAAGAAAGAAAAAGAAACACGTCCGCGCACATGCAAGAATGAAATCAGTGAAAACATCCTCGATAATGGCAATAAACTTGGAACAAATGTATCAATAAGATTACCCGAAAGATAACTCATTATTTCTCTTTTACTTTTCTTGTCTTCAATGCTCCAAACAGGCACCCTTATACCCACAAAAAAAAAAAAAGATACACACCCGCACGCGTACGTACAAACAAGGTTGCAAACGCCGCGAGCATCACATTACAGACACTCCACCAAACACACACACAAGAACACGCGCGCAAACACCCATATGTCGTCCCTCATTATCAATTCCATTCATTTCTCTTACCAGTTATTTACTTACCGCATACACACACACACACACACACACAAATCTCGAACACCCACCCCAAAACATTCATAGTTACATTTCCCGAGAAACAAGAAAGGAAATACAACACACACGATAAAGACGAAAGAAACAACCGTCATTGCAACACGACGCCGATGCTTTACAAGGGGGAAAAAAAAAATAAAATTAAACCGTTGTAAACCCGGCAGTCTTGGTCAGAGTGATAAATAATGCGCCATCCGTTCCTAATGAAAAGACGTTCGGCAGACGGTCGCGCGGGTCCCCCAACCCTCAGCACAAGACGATGACTGCTCCAGCGAGTTCGTAATCTCCGCGGGCGCGTCTCTGTCGCATCATTAATCAACAGTGTCGATGTTTTCGTTTTGTTTTTTTTTTCTTCGAAATTAATTAACCGTCTTCGATGATGCCGCCGCGGAAACTTCCGAAAAAAAAAAAAACGGTTCGCGTTGCGTGATCGTTTCGAGCATTTCAAAAGAGAGCGAAAGAGCTGCAGATCGCTGACGGATTCATTGACGCATTCCGGCGACGATGTGACACCGATAACGCAGCGTTAACAGGCTTGCCCGCAAAAATCTTTACAGCCCATTGTCGCATAATAATTGCGGAAAGATGGTTCGCTCAATCCCCCGTGTTCGCTTATGTGCATTGGGCATTATTGTGTAGCGGAGTTTGGTGGTTTTGTTGGCGTCAACCTTGAAAGCGGGTGCTGAGAGATGATCGTTTTTCTTCGTATTGCCAACACAAACAGCGGTTATCCGGACAGACCATTCCGTAAAATCCCACGAGGCCAATCGGCGACGGCCAGGATTGCGCCGCGCCGCGCGCGAGGAATTATGGGGCTGTTCCGCTGTACGCCCGCATGAATCCCGGAAGCGGTGCGATTCCTTTTCTTTCACCACTGCGAGTTGCGAAGAGCCAACGTGTAACATAGCCGGTACGTACTCTGTTTTGTTATCGTCCTGCCTTCTTCGCGTTCTAAAATCGCTAATCGCTAATCCAACGTTAACCGCTCATAGGTACTCTTTCACGCGCCGTACGTCGGATCACCGTAATGCGTGGGAAAGACGATAGGGGCGCTGCGTGTTTTCGAGAAAAAAGATCTATTCAACAGCCGACGTGAGTCAAGTCGAGACGACTGGGAAGCCGCTATGTCTTCGGCAATATGGCAGCCGTAACGAACTGTTTATCTGTCTTAGCATAGTCGCAGAGGAGGTTCCTTGGGACTGGTACAAGTCAAAATGGCCGAACTTACCTTAGGATCCAGTGAAACTCCCGGAACAGAGCGGATACTGACGGCGCCCTCCTGTAAGAAATAGGAGATAAAAAAAGCGAGAAACACATTTAGACTTAGAACGTTGCAGAGTTTGAATGCACCGCAAAAGTCAAAGCGTGCGATCGATACAGGTGGAATGAATAGAAGGCTAAAAAATGGTGGTGATTGCAGAACAATTTTGAAGGGAGTTACTCTTCTTTTTTTATCGGATTATCACATTTTATTTTATTTTGTCGCTCGACCCGGAGTAATTTTTTTTTAGATACAATAATCTATTAAAATATAAGGTGGGATTCTTAGCAGCCTTAAAACTGCAATTCCAGGGGTAGAGACGTGATAAAGTCGTGACGTCACGGCGACCTGTCGGTGAATTGCAAATGCTGCAAGCGACTTTATTGCCGCGGGATACATATTTTGCGAATCCGGTGAAGTGTGGTATTTACGAACACTGTTACACGGGCACGAAGCTTCGCGAATCAGGGTGGCGTGCTTTGCATTTGTAATCACAGGAAACATATTCGCAGGACCTAGATATTTTTAGTGATATTATACACGTCACAAAATTAGAGACAATTAAGTCGTCTAGTAGCCCAATAATGTTCTTGTGTGGGTTGTCTCTACCCCCCCTCTCTCAACTGTCTTTGTCTCTCTTGGGAATCATGAATCTGGACAAGTAGTAAACGAGTTCTTCATTTCATTTGAAGCAACCGGCAGTGGAATATGCGAACAATTCCTCCCCTTCACCAAATGAGCACTGAATTCAATTAAACTCGAATCGACCCATCCTCAAAGGAATCCTCCGCTGTCGTCCACCTAGCGACTAATTTTGCTCGTATTTGTGGTGGAAAGAAGCGCAAATTTGTTTGTTGAACAAAGTATTTTACTAGGGAATACGCCTCATCCCACGAGCATCCAATGGCCTTGGAAGCGTGAGCTTTAGCGTAGATGGATTTGTTGGACGCGCACAGTCCCAGGGTTTTCTCTTAATTAGGGAGGGCGGCTACCGCCATCTATCGTCGCGAAAACCCGTCGCGGAGCAGAGACAGCCGTCTCTGCTGCCTTGGCGAAACCGGTATCTCGGTGCGCCGGCCGCAGCTCTTTACCTCGGCACAGCATGAACAGTGCGATGAGCATTCGTTTTGTCGGACGAGGTGTTTTCTCACCGCTAGAGCAGGATTTGGCGCTGTATGCTTATGCCACGGAGTAAAATGCATTCTCCCAGTGAGGTATTTGGTTCCACAAAGACCGTAAAATTCAAATCAAGCTTTGCTGTTCGCTCGCCTCAAGCAATAAATAACCAATGCTATTAGTTATTTTTTTCTTTTAAGATAGTTTTTTTCTAACTGCTATCTTTCATAACGTGTTATTCACGCATTTTTCACTAAGTGTCGTTTCATATGTGTAATATATATATATTTTTAAAACAGAAACCGAAATATAATAAATCATCACCCATCCGCCCGTGTTTATATATGCCGGAATGACCAAACTATCGTACAAAAGGAGCGAGAAAGGAACGAGAAAATACGTTGAAGCAACCGCGACCACTACTACCGCCATTTTCCTCTATACAACGTAGAATCAAAGCAGAAAAGAAAGGGCAAAAACTATGAGCTAGACTTAATTTCTATTTCTTTTTTGTTTTTGCGTAGTTCGCATGTTTGCAAACAAACCACTAGTTTTCAGACAGAGCCACGCAGGAGCACATAACGAGCACGAAAATTAATCAAGCAGTAACACGACAGAAATCAACGTTCCAAAACGATTATAATAAAAAAAAAACACACACACACACAAGGAAAACCCCGGAGACGGTTCCGCGATCACAGGTTGAGAGAGTCTAGAAAAAAAAAGTGGAAAGGAAACAAGCACAAAACACAAGCACCAAGACAAAGACGGGTTCGCAGCACACCAGATGCCGCGGGTATCATGACGACCGCGAAGCATGGCGCAGGAAATGTTGCTAATAGAGCGACAGATGTTTTCACGGCGATCCGTGGTGCATCGCCGGTCACGTGCGCGATTATCAATTAACAACGTTGTTGCGGGAAAGATTAGACCGACCCCCTGGTATTATTTATTTCACTCACTCTCTCCCTCTCTCTTTAGCTTCCTCTCTCTCTCTCTTGTTCTTGTTCAGCGCTGGTGTCTGTTGTTTCAATTAGCGCAAAAGGCGAGCTGCCTCGCATTAGTGGCCGACGGTCGAACCGATAATTTATCTGAAAAAATTTAAATGTGCTCGCTCATTCGTGTCCGGCGTGGCCGTTCGCTTGACCTCATTCCGGAAGACAGAGAAAGAGGGACCGAAAAAAAAAGAGATAAATAAAGACATATGGATAAAGTGACATTGGTCATGAAGTGCATAATTCTCGAGGCTATAGCAACGCAGAAAGTCGATGCATATGCTGTAATGAATGTGAACTGTGGCTCAGTCTTGATCTCACATATCGCTTTGGAACGTGCTCATCGCTTCGTTCGTTCAAAAAGTATTACAAAAGTTACTTTAGACGAAAAAAAAAAAGAACGGTTGGCATAACTTATTAAACATTAGAACTCAACATCGTTTCGTGTTCCTCTTAAAAAAAAAAATCGTTATTTTTTAGCATTTCCACAAATTTGGGGAGCTATGCGAAACTCATACCACCGTTCACTTATTTATTTTCCTCTGTTTCATATTTCGGCCGCCAGGCCATGCCGGTTTTCAGGACACATTTGGATATACGGTACCACCCCTCCCCACTCTTTCGTGTTTTTCCCGCCGGGTGGCGTCGCCTACCTCGGAGCATACGAACGCCGGTGATTGTAAACGCAAATGTCCACGGTTTGAGCAGGTGCTACCAATGGACGAGCGCGTACGCGAAGACAAGACATAGGCTCTAAGAAGATCCAGTGGGGCAATTGGCTAGAACCCATCGCTGCAATGTACAGAATGGAGCTCGTGACAAGCATGGAAACATGTTTAGACATAAAACAAAACAAACAACAACAAAAAAAGCCTGCGCTGTGACACTGGCTATGACGTAAGAACGTGAACGCAATCCTCATTGTCACAACGAACACTGCTTTTGTTTCAAGTAAAAACATGCTTTCAGTCTCGTCATTCGCCAAGTTCTCATCTGCAGACTGCGGCGATGGGCACTCCTCAGGGCCATGAGGTAAAGTAGACGCACAGGATTTCTTTGAACTGCAAAGCTCCGATTCCGATCTGCCGCCTTCCGCCGTATGCCGCGTTGTGTTTAAAGTGAAATATAAAGCGTGATGGTATCCAAGCTGGCTGCATATGCAAAGCTCCTTTTGTCCTCTGATGCGGTGGGATCGATATAAAATGTTGCTTCGAGCAATTCTACTCGCAAATCAGACCGCGCGGCGAGCGAAAAGCGAAAGTAATGCAATGTATCTTCGAATCGTAATGAAATGTGTGCTTGTACTCCTCTGCGGCTCAATACATATATAAATGCTAGAACTTCGTTATATTTGGCAGGGGCCACGAAAACAATAAAAAACACAGGGGAAAAACATTACGAGCACAAGCTTGGAAAATAAGAACGGAGAGGCATATCTATCATTTCTTCCCTACAACCCCTTTGCTCGTTTTTTTGAATGATACCGTTAGGCCTTCCCCAGAAAAAGGAGCGAGCGAACTTTAGAGCTGTTCCTAGCCAAATATTGGTTGCCCATTAATTTCGGAAGCTACACGTAGGAAAAAGAGGTTCCCTATTTTTTCCTGCAATCGTTATTATATGTATTCCCCTTTTTATTTTATTTATATATTCGTGTTTGGGAGGAAAAGAAATACGCAATCATTTCGGTCTTGTTCGTTACATGCACACATTTTTGAAATCCCTCATAGATCTTTTGCTCCGCGCGGATTCCAACGCGAGCAGGCAGCGGCAGGTTTGAACGGATTGTGTGTGTGTGTGTATATATATATATTATAACGAGCGCAACGGTACAAACGTTCGTTGTCCTTTCTTATTATGCCCAAAGTACATTTGCTTCATATTGTTTGTTTATATCTTCAAAACCGATGGTACCAAAAACAATTTAAGTATAACTCGCAAGTGGCTGGTCTGTATCGACGTTAAATAAGAAAAAGCACAGAAAAAAAATCAGTATATAATAAAACGCATTTGCCGGTTACAATGTTGGCACCCACACTAAAACCTTGCCTCAATCAATCTTAAATCTAGCGGCTTCGCAATGTTTGTTTCGTGGAAAAGAAATGAATCTTGGAGTTTTCTTTTAATTATTTCTCGTTCGGCGAGGCGTTTGGACAGACGGGGACGTAAGCGAGTTGTATCGATCCATCGACATAAATATAAATCATGGACTCTAGGCGTGTGCATCTGTCTTCTTCTTCTTCTTCGGTGCACTGTGTACGCGAGGCTGTCTATGTGCATCTGTGCATCCGTGAGCATGTGTGTGCGTGTGTGTGCGTGTGTAAAAAAACGAGGGAGGGTCGTGGAGTTTTAGCGGCTGTAATTAATAAACTTTCCAAATACTCGCGGTTTGTAAAGTACCATAAAAGTTCGCGTGTTTTTTTTGTTTTTTTTAGGGGTTGCTTTTTTTTTTGTGTGCGAAAAAAGCAACCACTGAAACCACTGAGGCTCGACGTCTTTTTTTTATTTTTCTTTGCGCCGATTTGGACGAACGCGAAGAAACAGCAGCATGCGTTACGCTGTTTTAATGTTCGACAGTAATCTTACAGAATGACAAGATAAAAAAAAACACAAATTTAATCATTCCTTTTTTTACGGCACACCGCAATGGCTACAGAGTTGAATTCATAAAAGAAAAAAAAAGATGTTATTTTTTCTAGCGCCGTTTTAGACACGTGTCGAAAAACAACTGCGGAGCCATGCATTCGCTCGGACTTCTAAGCTATAGAGTGCTTTCGGCTCGTATACATCACACGAAAAAGACACGGAGGTTCTCTGCAGACACGATGGCGGAGAATTATCCGCGGACATGCCTCAGACACTGACTGCAGACAGTATTTTCTACGGTCAATTGGCAATGTGACCGCGTGT